AAATTTTATATTATATGTATTTTATCACAAAAAACTTTTTAAAAATATCATCTATAATAGTGTCAGTAAATATCAACTACTTAAGCACAAATCTGAAGATGTCCAAGACCTCCACTGAAAGTTACAAAATATTATTGACATAAAATTTTAAAGACGTAAATAAATAGAGAGCCATTCCATATTCAGGGAGTGGGAAACTTAATATTGAGAAGATATCAGTTATTCTCAAATTAACCTGTGAATTCAATGTAATCTCGGTCAAAATCCCAGGAGGTCTTTTCTTTTCTTTTTTTTTTGCAGAAATTGACAAACTAATTCTAAAATTCATGTAGAAATGCAAGGGGCCTAGAATAGCCTAGAAGAAGAAGATTGCTGGAGAAAAAGAACAAAGAAGAAGAACATTATTTATCTATTCTACTCTTGATGGGCTTCTGGTGTTTTCCACAAATAGTGCTGGTGTGACCATTCTTGGGAACATATGTGTGCATTTCTGCTGAGTGTGCTTCATAAAAGAGAACAATGCTGGAGACACTTCCCATTGTAAAGCTGTAGTAACGCAGACAGAGGTGTAGTGCAAGGATAGACTCCCACCTGTTCAACAGAATAGAGTCTAGAAACAGACCAACATATATGCGCTTCCCTGACTTGTGACAAAAGTTACAGCAGAACAGTGGAGAATGGTTGGTTTTTTCCAATAGAAGGCTGAATCAATAAATATCCATATGACAAAAAATGTGTCTGGATCCTTACCACAATCATACACAGAAATCAATTCCAGATAAATTGCAGATACAAATGTGAAAAGAAAACAATGAAACTTTCAGAGGAAAGAATCAAGGAGAACATCTTTGTGACCTTGGAGTAGGCAAAGATTTCTTAAAAGGACACAAAGGCACTAACCATAAAGAAAAAAATGTGATTTATTGAACTTTCTTGAAATTAAAAACTTCAGTTTATCAAAAGATACCATTAAGAGAGTGAGAAGGCAAGCCACAGAGTTAGAGAATATATCCAACAAAGAACTCAAATCCAAAATATATAAAGAACTCCCATCAATCAATAAGAAAAAGACAGATAACCCAATTAAAAAGGGGCAAAATCCTTGACGAGGCACTTCACAGAGAGGATCTCTGAGGGCCAAGAAGCACATAAACTGGTGCGCAACTGCATTAGTCTGCAGTCCACAGCAATTTAAAACAAAAACACCAAGGGTTCATGAGGGTTTGGGGCAAGCAGAACTGTCAGCGGACGCTCTGGTGGGCTGTCAGTGGGTCCACGCTTCTCGCCGACACTCGGCGGCACTCTCTACGTGTGCGCTTGCAGAAATGCACACGCCATGCTCCCCAGGAGAGGCGCTCGAGGATGGTGGGTCACGGCAGCCAGAGCCCATCAGGCGTGGAACAGGTTCATAGATGAACGGTGGTGTGTTTCCACCGTGAAAGACTGTGTAGCCGTGAGACTGAATGACCTACAACAATGATGAATCTCACCAAATAGGGTTGTCAGATCTAGCAAAATGAAAACAGCAGAATGCTCAATTAAATATGAATTTCAGATAAACAATGAATACTTTGTTAGTGTAAGTATGTCCCTAAAAAATATTTATACACTTAAAAAGTATGGTTGTTTATCTGAAACTGGGCGCTCTATATTTCCTCTGGTGACTCTGAACAGATATAATATTGGCAAACAAAGCCTGCCACAAAAAAGTGCAGACTGCAAATTCCTGTTTATGCAGAGAATAGAAACAGGGGAGACCACTTATGTCTTTAGAAGTCAGGACGGTGGCAATGGCAGGGAGTGACTAGAAAGGCACATGAAGGTGCCTGGGAGTCTGGTTAGTGTTTTATTTCTTGATTTGGGCACAGTGTATTCACTTCTAAAGATTCACAAGCTGTGTGGTTCTGAAAAGTACACTTTCTGTGTTTTCGGTGACTGCACTGGGGTGTTTCACCTGGGCCTCAGATCACAGCTGGCCTGAGCTTTTCCCAGCAGAGAGCAACGCACATTGGCCTGTGTGACCTGCTCTAGGCTCATCCTAGTCATTGTCCCTAAATTAACTCCATCTTTGAGTCTCCAGTTCAATGCCCCTTCCTCCAGGAAGTCTCCCCAGACTAAGCCAGGTGCCCTGCTGTACCTTCCCTCTGGTGGGCACTTGCCTTTGTTCCAGTTGTCACTACTGTAGTTCAGTCATCATTCATATAAATATTTATTTATTCTCTGCCTCTTCCAAGGTCACCCCCAGGGGCAGGGCCCATGCCTGTCTTCTTCCTGTGTATCGCCCGGTGCCTGGCACACAGACAGTGCTCAGAAATACCTATTGAGCGAAAGGATAAGAGTCTATATGCAAACCAACATTTTTTTTTCACCTCTAAAAGTTTTTGTTAACGCAATTATCATATCCCCAAGAATCAGGGCTTTCTTGTTTTCAGCAAGAAGTTTCAGAATCTCATTTTTAGGAAAGAAACCATTCTAGAGTCACAGTCCTCCATCCTGAATGGCCGTTGTCCCGGCCCACAGCACGGAAGAACCCTGGAGACCGGTGCCTCACTTTGCAGTGGAGGAAACTGTGCGTGGGAATTGAATTGCAAGTGTTCTTCGCCTTGTTGCTTTCCTGCTGGTGCAGATATCAAGGGCGCTGTGTCCACTCTCGGCCAGGAGACTGGTGTGGCCTGGGGGCTGGTGTGGCATTTGGGACCCTCACCCTTGGTTTTTGTCTTGACCCTTGTAGGGATTTGCTGCAGACCCTGACAGAGGAGGAGCTTCACACGCTGGAACGGAACCTCTGCATTTCCCAAGACGTGGAGTTCCCCATCCGGGCAGACACCCAGGTGCCCCCGGCCCTGGCGCCTGCCTTTCCTGAATCCCTTCCCCCAGAGGAGCTGCTCTCAGCCAAGGCCAAAAACCCGGAGGCGGAGCTGGCCTGCTCCATGCAGTATGATGACCAGGAGCTGGAGCAGCTCAACCGCATGGTTCACAGGGTTGGGGACGAGATGTCCTCCCTCCTCTCCCCGCCCAGCGCCTGCCAGTCCCCTGCGCACAGGCCGGGGGCCGAGGGCAGCCCCCGAGGGGAGGCCTCCCCAGGCAGCGCAAGGCTGCGGCCGGGCAGCGATGAGGAGGAGGGAAGGGTGTTCTTCATGGATGATGTGGAGGGGACAGCAGAGGCCCCGGGTGGCCCATCTGGGTGGGCGGGCAGTACCAGTGCCAACCCCCAGGAGGGAGAGCAGGGCGGAGGGTGCGGAGAGGCGGGGGTCAGTGCGCCCACCACGGCAGAGGAGGGGGACTTGAGCAATAACAACAACATCCAGGACAGCAAATTGTGGGCGGTGGGCTCCAACTCTTGCAGCTGCCTGGACTCCCAGCCGCACCTGGATGGCTGGGAGGTAAGTGTGGACGATGCAGAGACAGCCGAGATGATCGCCCACCGGACAGGGGGCATGAAGCTCTCAGCCACGGTCATCTTCAATCCCAAATCACCCACCTCCTTGGACTCTGGTGTCACCACCCTGGAAGCCCCAGGAAATGGCATCTCTCCATCAGATCCCACGGCCGAGGGGCTGGAGGGTGGCTCCCACAAACTCAGCGCTGCGGCCACCAACTGCCTCCTTAACTCCTGCGTGTGCTGTGGAGGCTGTGGAGGCAGCAGGGAGGACGCTGTGGAGAGTCTGCGGGACAAGTGTAGCCCGGGAAGCGTCATCAGCGCCTCCTACGTTGGCTCTGCCAAGGCCAGCGCCAAGGGCCCGGCCGAGAGACTGGAGGAGGCCCAGCCTGCCCTGGAGGTGTTGCCCATGGGCGCCCCGGCCCCCCTGCCCTCAGAAGACGCCCCCGATAGGCAGGACCTCAAAGCCCCGACTTCCAACAAGTGCCTGGCCCACACCTCAGGTCCCCAGGTGGATGCAGCAGACAGGTCTCACGGAGAGGGCAACGGCGCAAGTCAGCCAAAGGAGCCTGAGGCCCGACAGGAGGACGAGGGGCAGCCCTCGGAGGCCAGGGAGGAGAATCAGCATGGAGAGGTGGCCAAGGGGGAGACCGACTCCAGGTAAGAGCGGGCTCGGCAGGGGCTGGATTCGTCCTCTCTTAATTTTGCACTTGGGGTGCTTTGTTGCGCGTTGGCTGATTCTCAAAGTGTTGGCATGTTTCCAACGGGGCTTCTCAGGAGAGTGGTCTGTGTGTGAGGGGAGGTGATGGGGGCCGGGCCTGGGGTACCACCTCTGCAGGGAGTTGAACAGCTTATATCAGGCCCTCCTGGGCCTGGACACCGGGTCCAGCTGAGAAATGTCCCCAGTGGGCCCCTGATGGCACCGTTACAGGTACAGGTACCTTTCAGGTGACGTGGGCATAGTGCCAAGCCCTCAGCCCACCCCCTTCCGCCACTGTGGCCCATCCTGGCCCCGTGTGATCCAGTGTAGGTGGACTGGGCAGTGGCCAGTGGGCGTGGCCACCTCTGAGCACACTTTCCACTTCTCTTTTCTGACCGCTGTGGCCTCTCAGCTTACATGGGGCTGCAATTAGCTGCACAGACCCTCAGCAGTGGACGTGGGGCCCCCGGGGGCCATGGCAGGATCCTGAGACCACTGTGGGGCAGATTCTCAGGCTGTGCTCCCAGGACTCTGCTCTCCTCTCCCCTGCCCTCCCCTGCTCCGCTCCTCTCCCCCAGAGGCAGCCGACTAGGAAAGGTGGGCCTGGTGGGCACCTGCACATCTCCTTAGACTCAAGGCCGCACTCACTTTCCTTGTTCCCACACCCTGGACTTGGCCTGAATGAAGCAGATTCAACGAGCATTGACCCAGCCCCCGCCATGTGCCCACTCCAGCCTTGATATCGGGAAAAGAAGGTGCCAGACTAGCCTCAGTGGTTCACGGAAGGCCACTGTTATACTGTCACCACCAATGGTCATCTCACCAGGACCCTCCCTTTCAGGGTTTTCCCCCCGGCTTCCACCATGTCTGACAGGAGGTGGGAGGACAGGGAGGGGAGGAGGCTCAGTCTAGAGGCTGGAGACGGCTCCCCACCAGGAGCCATGGGAGCTGGGCACAGAGGGGTGTCCAGCAGGGTGGGGGAGGGGAGGGGACAGGTGCACGGGTGTAAGAGCCTTGCCTGGGGGACGGGTCTTCACACCAGGGGAAGGGAGCTTCTGGGACAAGGGGCAATGACCTTGTAGGGCCGTGTAGCCACCGCCTCCTTCTTCCTGGCCTCGTCCTCCCTGCAGTAGTGTGTGGCCACAGTCCTCCGGCAGTGTGCAGGGAGCTGGCCAGGACCCTGTGCATGTCAGGGCCGCTCTTCCCGCTCTCCTCCCATCAGAGCTCCAATGCTCTGTGGCCTGGGCTGCAGAAAAGGCGCCCAGCAGGAGCCTTTTCTGTGTGGGGTCTGCAGTCACTCCCCACGCCACTCCCCCAGCCCCTGGCAACCACTAACTTACTTTCTGTCTCCATGGATTTGCCTGTTCTGGACATTTCATATAAACAGAATCACACCACATGCAACCTTGCATCTGCCTTCTTTCACTAAGCATAATGTTTTCAAGGCTCATCTACATTGTAGCAATCATCAGTACTTCTTTCCTTTTTATGGCTGAATAATATTCTAGGTGGACCTCATTTTGTTTATCCATCTATCAGTCGATTGGCGTGTGTGTTGTTTCCACTTTTTGGCTATTATGAATAACGCTGCTATGAAAATTTGTGTACAAGTTGTGTGGTCATAAGTTTTTAATTCTTTTGGGTGTATATCTGGGAGGAATTTGTGGAAAATGTGGTAATTCTGTGTTTGGCTTTTTGAGGAGCCGTCAGCTGTTCTCCAAAGTGGCTGCAGTTTACGTTCCCACTGGTCGTGTACGAGGGTTCCGACTTCTCCACCGTCACTGGTTATTGTCTAAGATGCTATTAACAGTCTTGTGTCCTTAGGGCATATCCCGCCAGAATACAGTCAAGTGGCTGCTTTAATTCACTTGAAAGTGTTTCTCTCCTGGAGGTTGTGCCCCACTTTTACTCACAGTAGATTAATTTGTTTCATTTAGCATTAGATGTATAGAGATTGCCATTTACATCTAATTTAATTTTACAATTATGTAACATACTTGCATGGTTCCCAGTCAAGTCTACAGAGTAAGATACATACAAAAAAGGCTGTCCCTTCACATAGTTCTTCCTAAAGGTTACAGGTTTAAATTTTTTATAGTTTATCCTTCAATTTTAAAAATATCAGCAAAGAGGGGACTGGCCTGGTGGCGTAGGGGTTAAGTTCGCTTGCTCCGCCTTGGCAGCCTGGGGTTCACAGGTTCGGATCCTGGGCACGGACCTACGCAACGCTTATCAAGCCATGCTGTGGCGGGCATCCCACATAAAAAGTAGAGGAAGATGGGTACGATGTTAGCCCAGGGCCAATCTTTCTCAGCAGAAAGAGGAGAATTGGTAACGGATGTTAGCTCAGGGCTGATCTTCCTCACCAGAAAAAAAAAAAACATATATATATATAAGCAAAGATGTACACACACACACATGCACACGCACACACACACGTTCTTCCCCCTCCCGTTCTTTGGCAAAAGGCCTCATCCTGCAAACACTCTTCTTGCTTTTCTGACCTTCTAGCCTGGAGGCCTGTCCATGGTAGTTTCTAGAGATGTCCCTGTTGTCACTTTTGGCTGCATGGGACCCCACTGTGTGGCCGGACCAGTGTGTACTCAGCCAGGGCTGCTGCTGGCCTTGGGTTGTGTCCAGACTTTGTTAATACAGACGGTGCTGCAATGAGCAGCCTCCTGCACACATCCTCTCATCCTTTTGATAAGGCTGTTTTTGAGATATGAGCCCAGCTTCATCAGCCATGTCCAGTGGAATGAATTATTGTCCACAACCTACTGGCTGGCTTTCTCCCTCAGGGCCTCCAACTCAGTGATCCGGAGTTGATTGGTAAGTGAATCATTTTTCTACAAGGTGATATGAAGCCATTACAAATTCTTTGGCAGGATATGTGGATTTTTCAGGTTTTGACCTGCCTTCTTGTTTTGGTCCAGGTGACAGCCAGTGGACACCGACTCTGTCTGGAACTCCCCTCCTGCTTTCCTGACGTGTCCCACCGTGGACACTGCTCGTTCACGTCACACCCTCAGCTTTCCAGGCCTCATCCAGCTTAGCACAAACACTGAAGCTGAACTGAGATAAGGAAAGAGAACCCCCATGGTGGCCTCGAGAGATGGTCCCATCTTCCAGGGAAGCTTTTCCAGAAGGTGCAGAGGGTCTGAGGAAGGAAGAATGTGGCAGGTGGCCCGGTGATCAGGACAGCCATGCATTTGGGCCAGGACCTTGGACAGTGGTGCCCCCTGTCCCAGCAGGGCACCAGGGGCAGCTGGGAATCGGGTCAGCAGATGGCGCCTGTCCCATCCACGGGCAGTGCATACATCGGGAGCATCATTCATTCACATTACAAGCTGGTTCCTGGGTGGCTGAGCAAGGTGCCAGAGACCCACCCAGGAACAAGACAGGTGACCCAACCTCATGGAGCATGATCTAACTCTAATACGGAGGTGACAAAGCATGGGTACTGTTAAAACAGACAGACACAAGACCAGCCTCACACAAGCAGAAGTTCACCAGAATTCCAATGGTGAGACTCCTGAAGTCTGGTTGGTGTTAAGTAACATTCGTGCAAGGCTGCACGGTGAAAATAGCTGGTCTCATACAGAGGTGCAGGCGATTATCCCTCCCATGGGCAGATGGAGATACTGAGACCCTGAGAGGTTGATATCTGCCTGAGCTCAAAGTGCCTGGACCTCCTGCCTGCAGTGTGAGCCCGTTCTGCTGATAGGCTCTGCCCCATAGGGTTGCACTCGATTCTCACTCACCGCGTGATGAGCTGATTTGACCTTGAGGCCTGTCTGCTTAGCGGGTGCCTCTGCGGCCCCTGGGTGTGCGGCACAGAGGACATTGAGTGAACAGCAGGCGTGGCCCTGCACTCGTGAGCTTCTGGTCCTGTGTGTGAGTCAGACAGGTGCAGCCTCAGGCCTCGGTGTTCCACAAATTCAGTCGAGTGCCATGAAGGAGACACGCCAGGCTGTGACAAAGGGCCTACTTGTCCCAAGCACACCTGGAGCGTATTTTCTCGGTCAAGCAGAATAAAGCCTCCATGTGGAAGGGAAGGGCTGCAGGGGTCCTTGCTAGACTGGCCGGAGGAACTGATGCAGGCCAGGAGGTGGGTCCTCGAGCAGGGGTCCCAGCCAGGAGAAGCCCCCATCTGTGGCATTTCTCCAGGCCCTACCTTGAGCCGACTGCACCATGGAGCAATTCTACCCGTGCTGTTGCCCAGTGTGGTGGGACATCACCCTTGGCAGAGTCCTGGGCAGAATGTTCCAGAACCATGTGTCTTTCGGCTCTTTTCTTTTTACTGCCTTCTTTCTTACCTTTTCAGTGCTCATAGATTAACCTTTTTTGGGAAAAGTTAGCATTTTTAAAAAGCTTATGGTTCCCTGTCTAGACTTACCTCATTATCCAGAAACTTCCACACTCTTGAAGCTGGCTAAATAAGTCACTTGTCTAGCAAACAGAAGCTTGCCCCATCTCAAGTGTATCTTCGTCCTTTCTGTGGACATTTTACTAAAGTGTGTTTCCAACAGTCTGCCTTCTTGAAAAAATAACACTGACCCTCTCTTTTTTCTGATTATAAACACGGTCCCCGTTCATTGTAGAAACTTTTGAAAACATAAAAAAGAATAAAAGGGGGCCGGCCTGGTGGCCTAGTGGTTAAGTTTGCATGCTCCGCTCTGGCAGCCTGGGGTTCTTAGGTTTGGATCCTGGGCGCAGACCTATGCACCGCTCATCAGGCCATGCTGTGGCAGTGTCCCACATACAAAGTGGAGGAAGATGGGCACAGATGTTAGCTCAGGGCTAATGTTCCTCAGCAAAAAAAGAGGAAGATGGCAATAGATGTTAGCTCAGGGCCAATCTTCCTCACCAAAAAAAAAAAAAAACCCAGAATAAAAGAAGGAAATAAAAATCATCTCAAATCCAATGAGCAGTTTTATTTTTTTCCACTGCATATTATTTT